ACTCCCAATGGGGAGTGGGGCTGAGCCTGACCCCCTCCAGCAGCCCCAGGGAAGAGTGTGAGGGGGGATCCAGCCTCTGCCCGGTGTGAGCAGGGGCAGCAGCTTGTCTCTGCGTGGCCCATGGCACCGAGCAGCCCCTGGGGCCAGAGCACCCCAGAGCAGGGCTGGTGGGGGCTGGGCCCAGCACCATCCCTCCTGCCCTCCTGGGAGGTACCACCACCACCCTCCTGTGTGCCCAGAACACGGAACTCAACAGCATCATCTACAACGTGTTTGCCAATGACAGCGACACTGGGAACGCCTCCAAAGTCAGCTACAGCATCGAGGAGGTGAGCACAGCGCATCGCAGAGTGGGGCACGCCATACCCGAAACCCACCCCGGAGCCACCTCCATGGGGCAGAGGTGCTGGGGGGCCTAGCCAGGGGCAGCCCCATGGCTCTGGGGGAGCAGGGGTGCGTGTCGGGTCAGGAGGGCTGGCTCTGCACCCGCTGGGCGATGGGTGCATGGTGCTGAACAGTCACATCTGGGGACAAGCCAGGTGGTAGGGGGTCCCCTGGGCCAAGCCTGGCTGAAGGATGAGGCTGGGGCACCTCTGCTCTCTGCCTTGGTGACGTGGGGCAATGTCCCCTGCCCAGGTGATCCCAGACAGCACGAGGAATCTCTGGCTATTCTACATCCTGCCCAACGGGAGCGTGGTGCTCAATGGCTCGCTGGACTATGCCAAGAACACCTTCTATCAGCTCAAGATCATCGCCAAGGTGGGGGACAGCCAGGCTGGGTTTGCAGGGCTGCCAGGTAAGGGTGCCATGGGACTAATGGGTGCTCTGCTCCCCAGGATGGCGGGGGGATGCTGCACAACACGTTGACCTTCCAGCAGAGCTCGACCTACCTGTCCCTGACCATCCGTGACCTGCCCAACCTGGACCCACGGTTCCTCAACGAGCCTTACTCCAGCTCCGTGCCTGAGAACTGTGCCCTGGTAAGAAGCCTGCCTGCCCCTACCCTGTGTGTCCCTACCCCTGGCCCTCCCTGGGGGCTCTGACACCCCAGGACCACCGGGCATGGGGGCAGCTGGAGGCGTCACGCATGGGTCCTGCCCTGATGGCCACGTCCCCGCAGGGCACCACCGTGCTGACTGTCACCGCCATGGACAGAGACACAGGGGTGAATGACGAAATCTCCTACAGCATCAGCAGTGAGTGACGGGGCAGGGTGGGATGGGCAGGGGGTGAGCAGTGTCAGAGTGGGATGGGCAAGGTGAGGGATCAGGCAGAAAGGGGCATTACAGGGACTGGTTCTGGGCTCCCAGGAGCTGCCAACCTGCCCAGCTGGCAGAGAGAGGGCTAGGTCTGCATTTCCCTGTCGCTGTAGCTGGTTCCTGCTGTCCCTTTGCCCTAGATGCCAGCGTCCCCTTTGCTATCAATGCCACGACGGGCACCATCACCGTGAGCGGGCCCCTGGACCGTGAGCAGCTGCCGAGCGAGGAAGTGTGGCTGGAAGTCACAGTGAGTAGGAGGAGGCAGCAAGGGGAATCCCATCCTCTTCCTCGCCCCGCGCCCCTCCGACCCGCTCTCTCCTCCTGCCCAGGCGTGTGAGAAGAACCTGGACATCCATGGCAAGGTGGCACAGGCCAGCACACTGGTGACAGTCATGGTGACCGATGTCAATGACAACAAGCCCCAGTTCTACCACTGCTCCCTTCCCAGCTGCAACTTCTCCACCAGTGCCCAGAACACCTTCAGGGGCACCATCATCGAGCACTCCTCCTCCAGACTGCCCGTGTACAACCTCAGCATCGTTGCCCACGACCCGGACAAGGTGGGAGCTTGTCCAGGGGGCTGGGCTGGGGTGTGGGTGCCCGTCATGGCTGCTCCACCCACCCTCACTCCTGTTTCTCTCTCCTTGGCAGGGCATCAACAGCAACTATGAGCTGTACCTGCAGGGTGCGAATGCCAGTGCCTTCACCGTCTCTCCCTCAAAAATCGTGGGCACGGGGGAGGTCCAGCTCCTGGTGCAAGACCCATCTGCTGTGGACTATGAGATAAGCCATGTCATGGTGGTGCAGGTTCGCCATGGGGACAGTCCCTGCTCGCTGCATATGCTGGGACACAGCAGGGACACAGTCCTTCTCCTGCCGGGTTCAAAAAACAAAGCAGAACATGGCTCTGCCCTGGCAGCTTGTTTGGTTCAGAGGAGCTGGGCTGGAGTGTGACAGGTCCCTGTCTCACGCTTGGCGACCCATGCGAGACACTGTCCCTTCTCCGTCCCGCAGATCATTGCTAATGACATGGGGAACCCCACCGACTGCTGCTCCACAGCCACCGTGACCATCGATCTCATTGACAGCAATGACCACATCCCCGAGTTCCCCCAGAGCACCTACAACCTGAGCGTGATGGAGAACAGCCCCGCTGGCACCCTCATCTCCCCAGACATCACGGTCGGGTGCTGGGCAGGGAGTGGGCGCAGATTACGTCCCCCAAGCATGGCGCTGGGCATGGCTGGCGCTGCTGGTGCAGCTCAGGGCGCTGGTCTCTGTGCACACAGTGCCAGTGGGCACACAGGGTGTGGGGCCACGCGTCCATCAGGGCTACTTTTTCGGGGTGCTCACTGCCAGCAGCCAGTGCCCCAGGCTCATCAGTCCCATGGGGATGAGGTGGATTGAGTGGATGCCTATTTCTCTCTGGTTTAGGCCTATGATCCGGACAGCGGTGTTCTGGGCCAGATCACATACCAGCTGCTCCCGGAGAGCATGTATGTAGGGGCACGGCCAGCCACGACCGGGGCATCGTCCCAGCAAGGTAGCTTCAGGCCTGAGCCCTGCTGACACTCTCTGTGTGCCGTAGCCGTAAAATCTTCACGGTGAATGCCACAACCGGGGCAGTGCTGGTGCAGAACGGGAGCTTGCTGGATCGGGAAACTCGCTCCATCTACTACGCCAACCTCCAGGCCAAGGATGGGGGCAACCTGGTGGGCACTACCGTGCTGGAGATCACCGTGCTGGATGACAACGACATGGCGCCCATCATCACCGGCTCCTACTTCATCTCGGTGGAAGAGGGGCAGAATGTCAGAACACAGATCCAGGTATGCACCCCCAGAGGTAGAAAGGACGTTGGAGAGGAGCTGGGACCGTCCTCGAGGAGCTGGACACCCCCAGTCCAACCCCTGACCTTCCCAGGCCATCGACAACGACAAGCCTGGCAACCCCAACAGCGAATTAGGCTTCAAGATCTTGCCAT